TAGCCCAGACTTAATGGAATTTTGATTTCTTTTCTTTTTTTTCTTTTCTTTTTTTTGCTTTTGTTTTTGTTTTTGTTTTTTTTAATAATCCAATCTCAAGCAGCATTTGTAAATTGCCTATACGTAGCAATATTTACAATTGTACATTCAAAAACACAAATAAAGTTTCCATTATTATCATACGGTTATCATTAAATATCACTAAATTATATTTTGCTTTTGAACTGGTACGAAATTAACTTTCAAAGAGACTTTTGCTGTCTTGGCGCCGTCTTGCTTGGTTGTTTATTGACTCCCTTTTTGGCAAGATGGGCAACGTGCATGAAAGATGCTCTTATCCTTTCAAAGTAACAGAGGCCGGGATTATATCAGAGACCTTGCTTTGTCAATTGGAAACGCCGTTTACGAAAGGGAAATAGGCGTACACGAATAGCCCTAGTCGTCGGAGTCGGCCTGTGCAAAGTGTTTCAAAGTTCAAGGGAGATTAGCCCAATAGACCTCTAGCTTGTATGTTATTGTTTTGTTTTCCCAATAAAGGTCTCAGGGAGATTTGCCTCTTTGTCTTTTCATAAAGTAGTCTTGATATAAAAATATATAAAAATAACTAAAGTTAATTTCGGACCCTGATGTTTTGTTCTCCCAATAAATGTCTCAGGGAAATTTGCCTCTTTGTCTTTTCATAAATTATGCGTAATACATGCACAGGAACAACGCGAAATTTGAATGAAACAGTTCTCTAGAGCAATTATCACATGACCTTGAGTACACTGGAAAAACAAAACATACAAGCTAAGGGGCCGAACGTTTGACTTTTTAGGGGGGTATGGGTGACTTCAGAAAAAAATATCCTGCAGACTGATTTCGAGGGGAAAAATTCTTGCAAGGAAGTACCTGGCCAAAAAAAATTCCAATCTTGAAAAATATCTTTCGCGGAGTATAATGCTGGACAAAATGTTACACCATTGTATGTCAGAAAAAAAATTCTATCTCCAGCGGTTTGGAAAAAACATTCTTACCCAAATCAAAGCACCCTCCTCAAAAAGTCAAATGGTCGGCCCCTAAATAGGTAACCCTCTAGGGCCACTCTTGCAAACTTTTATCTACACTTTACCTATACCTATATCTGTTAATAATATCTATACCTATACTTACCTATTAAATAAATGTAACTTTTCTTAAGTTACTCCAGGTGTTACTTAGTATATAATGCATTTCTCCTTGCTGTCCTTATCACCCTAACGACGTTGCCAGACGTCAAACGCAGAGAAATAAATTCCAATTTGGAATGTTTCAAGCTAAACTGTTGATAGGGGATCTCTGAAACTCAGTGTGGTGCTACTGGTTAAGGTTTGAACTATATATATTAAAGGGGCTGTTTCACAACGTTTATCAAGATTCAAACCGTGGGAACTGCCCTCAAATTGAGTTAACCCTTTAAGTCCCGATAGCGACCAACATCAATTTTCTTCCAATGATATCCGTAGATTGTCAAGAGATTAGGTTATGAGGATTAATAAAATGATCACCTAAGAGAAAATGCTTTGATCTTTTGTCAAATTCTCTCAACTCATTCTTTAAAGTAATATATAGAGATCAGTTTGGAGAATTTGTATGTGAATATTGGGGCTTAAAGGGTTAAACATGAAAATTGCCGCTCAAAACGTTAACAGAAAGAATAAATGATACAGCAAACACAAAAGAAGGCACCAATGGACAAACTTGAAGAAGACTGAAACGGACTGCAATTGTGGTTTTTGAAAACTTGTTAGCCTGATAAGTTAACAATTTTTTAAAGTTCATTTTTGTCGTTCAGTTGTAACATTTGATAGATTGATATAATGCATAGAAGACATTATTTTTACACGAAACGTGATTTTACCCTGGTGATTTTGTCATTTACATGTAATTCAGCTCCATAGTGACTAAGGACGTGTAGCGGGGCATTATAAACAAAATAAACTAGCCGGTCGTGATTTAGCCCTTTTAAACCACGTTAGGTCTTAGACCTTAGCAAATTCAAGATGATGGACAAGTGATTACATCAATGAACGTATCTAGGTTTACTTAGCTGTTGCTATTTACTTTAAATCAAAATTGGCTTTTCACTGCAAAACTCTACAGGTTCCCCAAAGCTTGTTGTTTGTTCTGAATAACCTACCGCGTAGTTGTTTTTTCTTTTCCTTTTTATCAGTAATGATTGTCTTGAATAACTTGCACAATAAGAAACTGGAATTGCGGTTTATCATCTCACATATGAAAGTTGCAAGTACCCCTTTTCACGTCGGTTTGTGTCAGGCTGGAGGAGCTGACACTTTCACCCATTTCTGCACACCTGCAAATTAGACCGTCCGAATTTTCTGTTACCGCTGATCTAGGTGACAAAGCTGAGGAGGAAAAGTGTTTGAATACACGGATCTATTCAAAATTAACGTGAGTAGAACGTTCAACCATAAATAATTTCGTGTTTATATCCCCTTTACGTCTTCTTTGCTAGTGTTTAATATTTGAACATCTTGTGTTACGACTGACGGTGACAGTTTATAACCTAAACTAGAAAGATCATGGTTGAATAGCAACAAGGATAATATATTATAAACTACCAAATGAATGACATTACGTAACGAGATCTTTGCGTAATTAATTTTAAAATCTGGTGACACTATAATTCAAGTCAAGGGTACACAACTGTGGTTCGTTTGGTAAGTTTAAGCCTGCGGCAGAATATAGAGAGCGAGGACATGAATTAAGATCATCTCTTAATTTATCGGCCGTAAGTTTCGCGGTGTTAGATTATTTGATTTATACTTGATTGTTGATAAGTACTTTCCAAACAGTCTTAATCTTTATTTCTATGCACACTGTGTCCGTTTTTACGTACAGTGTATTCTTCAGTTTGCCAACAATTAAACATAAAAATAATTGCTGTTCAGGATCAACTTCCGGATATAATCTAGAGCAATATAAATCAAGCCGAACAACTTAAACAAACGATTATCTAGATTTGATCATCCCTGTCTTAAAAACTTAAAATTAAACAATAATCAACGTTTTTTTAATTTTTTCGCTGTTAATGTTTTTTTATTATAATTTCTTTTCCATTTCTTTGACTATCTCCAAATGTTCTAGAATTCATCGCATGAAATCAATCGTGAGTATGGCTATTGCTAATAACTGCTCCTCACTCTAGCAGGGCGAGGACACCATACAGCTGTTGGCATTAAGTCATTCTGGTCGGTTCTGTCTTACCGGAACAGTGTGGTGAGAAAAGTGAGAGAAAAAGCAAACACTTAACAACGAGCCCTTTTTATGAGTCGACTGAAACTCTTTTCTCTTCTCTCGAGAACTTCAAGTATATCTGGATGGCTACGCTACTCGACTGCATCCCAACATTTCGGCCTTTAGAATTCTAGCGGGCAGTGATGCTTACAGTGTACCTTTATTAATGGGAAATTTAGCACAATTACATAGCATTCAGAAAAAGTCATTTTTCTGTTACTGTGCCCTATTACACCAACTAAACATGGTATTAAATCAGGTTAAAAAAAAAGTCAAAAAACACACACCTGACAAGAAAAACTGGGCACTGGTGTTTAATAGGATTCATCAAAATTCAACATGTTTTGTAATTTTCACTAAATTTCAATCAACTTAAGTCAGTAGGCTCTTTTTATGAAGGAAATTATTTTTAACGTGTTTAGTTGGAGAAAATGGGGCATTAATCTACCCCAAAAAAGCTTTTTTCGTGTATTGGCGTCTGTAACGGAATGGATCAGTTTAGTAATGGTTAACACTCTGAAGAACAGTTCGCCGGCTGTTTCTTTTGGTCACGTCGTCTTGGCTCAGGGGACGAGAATGGTTCGCCAGACGATCGGCTGGTTAAAAAAAGCTATTGAACTATTGAACTAGGGGGTGGGGGAAAACAAAGAGTGCGCGCGCACTTGCGCAAGAGGGACTCTTTCGTCAATGGAACTCAAAACCTAATTACTCAAAATCTATCCGTACTATCTAGGTTCAATTTTTGGAAAGAATTAAGCAACACCACCAAGCCGTGAACATCAGTGACAGAAAGAAAAAACAAACAAACAATAACAACAAAAAAACCTGTAGGATATTTGTAGGTACCAACAAAGCAGTCTAAATTGAATTTATTCCATCGACGTTATTGCTTTTTGCGATCTCTTACATGTTAAATGTTATTTTCATTAATTTTGTCATCTTTCTTTTGTTTTTGAGCACAGCGATAATGCTGTCTTAAACATGATTAAAAATAGATGACTGTACTTACAAGCAATTCCGCCCTGGTGGCAGTATTCATTTTCTGTTTTAATTCTGGGAAATCCTTGTCTACCGGGGACGAAATAACTGTGACGGATGATTTAGAAAATTACATTAGTACGGCAGCAACAGCAAATACTGTTTTTATTACATTTTGTACCAAGTTTTCAGTAAAAATTTCCTGAGGGCGTCCAAGTGTTTACTGACAGTGGTTTATTTTATTGTTTAGTTGAAACTTGTGTCAAGTTTTCTGTTTATAACACTCAAGTGCAAGATGCTTTTGATAAATGAGTAGTGACTGATACTGAAAAGACAGAGAGAGAACGTAGAAGCGGCACCAGTGAACTATTCAAGGGGACAAAATACAGGCCCACAATTTTTATTATTTATATTTACCCTGTATTTGTTTTAGCTGTTGCATGTTTTCGATGCAAAGTTAGACACACACACAGCAACTTTTCTTATTCACGTAAAATTTTGATCTACTTTTGAACTATATTGACTTGATATGAAATTATGGTTAAAATGCATACAGTATGACTTATAAACCACTAAACAAAGAAAAATTCTACCCAAAACGCCTCTCACAGAAAACTTTTCAGCTTAATTTGCAGCCATTCAATGTTTACATCTTAGAAAGTAAATAATTAACTAACCTTTTAATATATGATGGCTTACTTCGCTTTAGGTTTCATCTTTTGCCGACAGCGAACAATCCTATGATGATGGAAAAGGACGGAAAAGCCCACTCCACTAAAGACGTGGCTAGCAAGCAGCCGTCAATAAAACAAGTTCTAAGTAATTTTTGTGGCTATACAACAGCACACGGACTTGGAAGATTGGCTGAAAGCCGCACTGTTATTCGCCGAATAGCATGGAGCTTGTTTTGCGTCGGGGCTTTAGTGATGTTCGTTCTCCAGATAAAGAATCTTTTTCTCATTTATTTGAGTAGGCCTGTGGCAACAGTGGTAAACGTACATCATGAAAGCGTAAGTGTGAAAGACAAAGAAAGCAGATTAAATGCTATAAACGGTTACGGTTAGGGCTACCACCTACGGTCACCCATGGATGCAATGTAAATCCATAGGCAACATAGAGACGGCATAGACTACAAATCGGCTTTAGTTTGAGCTGTGATTTTGGAGCCCCGTTATTCTAATAATTTGAATAACTGGAGAGATAAGAAACAATATTTTTATTCAATATTTTTTTTCTTCTACTTCCAGTGAATTTTGTTGTTAGTTTGGATCCGGCTCGTGATATTGGGAAAATCAATGAAACGCAGTAAATTTACAAATAACAGTATCGTCCGTGTCAATGTTATCATCCCCTAAATTTACCTCACGTCAAGCAACTGAAAATTTAAGTAATATTCAGTTGCTTTTATGGGTAGACACGTTATTTTAAAGACCGTTGAAACGTTCGCAGTTTACTTAAAAGAACTCAGACACGTTCCAACACCAAGGGAAAAGTATGTAAGCAACTTGTTACAATCACTCTCTTGATGGTTGTAATGCAAAGTCTTGAAACAGATCGTACAGAGGCAGAATTGATATTATTTATTAAGTAGTTTCACCCTGCTCTGAGCGATTTTTAAAATCCTATTGGGGAATATAATCCAGTATAACTAGAAATATTTCATTCTAGTATGTAAACTTTCTTATTCGTAATTGTTAAAATATTCTTATTCGTAATTTTAAAATAATATTCAGGGTGTGTTTATTGGTGTCGAAGCATTTTTTAAAAGTATATGTTAGTGTAAAACTCTCGATATTCGAGTAATTTATACCAATAATACAGAAAAAAATGTTAATGTGTATCATGCCATGTTGTTGAATGTTGCAATAAGTATGACGTATCCTAATATAAAGTTTTGTTCAATATTTGAGTGACGTTGCAGCTTGTTAAATGATAAACATTTAACAATTCAATGTTTGCTGTTCAACAAGTTGAACTTGCTAAAGGGCGAAATAAGGCCCAGCTTTATTCTCTCATTCAACAACATTCAACATGTGAAACTATGGCCTCTTGCAATTTTCAGTACCAGGCTTGGTACATTTTTATCACTTTTTAACCGCGTGTTTTCTCGCGTGCTCGTAAGTTGGGAGCATTTAGAGAGATTTAATGTCGTTTTACTTTAGTTTTCCTCATGTCTACACTTTAGTTAGTAGCTTTTTTGCCAGCCGAGTTTCATCAATAAGAATTATTATTATTATCAGCTCATTTTCCTAATATGAGAATTGTCAACTGCAATCTGACGTTCGTCGTTTGCCACAAACCTGACTCTAAATCTCGGTCTCTCGGTTGTCTGTGAGAGAATGATTGATGAGAAGAATATGATGATGGACGGTTTGTTGCCGTAGATTTCCTAATTAAAGAAAATTCACCGAAAATAGACGCTGAAAACCCTTCAATGTTGTTGTCTATGTATATAAAAAAAAATCATGCNAGGCCCAGCTTTATTCTCTCATTCAACAACATTCAACATGTGAAACTATGGCCTCTTGCAATTTTCAGTACCAGGCTTGGTACATTTTTATCACTTTTTAACCGCGTGTTTTCTCGCGTGCTCGTAAGTTGGGAGCATTTAGAGAGATTTAATGTCGTTTTACTTTAGTTTTCCTCATGTCTACACTTTAGTTAGTAGCTTTTTTGCCAGCCGAGTTTCATCAATAAGAATTATTATTATTATCAGCTCATTTTCCTAATATGAGAATTGTCAACTGCAATCTGACGTTCGTCGTTTGCCACAAACCTGACTCTAAATCTCGGTCTCTCGGTTGTCTGTGAGAGAATGATTGATGAGAAGAATATGATGATGGACGGTTTGTTGCCGTAGATTTCCTAATTAAAGAAAATTCACCGAAAATAGACGCTGAAAACCCTTCAATGTTGTTGTCTATGTATATAAAAAAAAATCATGCAAACAAATCGACTCAAAAAGAAAATAACAATGAAAATATTACTAATAATAATCATGATAATGATAACGATAATGATAATGATGATGATAATGATAATGATAATAATAATAATAACAATAATAAATAGATCCATTTGTTAAAAGTCAATTTTCAACATCTCATTTGTTGAACAAGAGCTGTATAAAACTAATTTTGTCGTGTTGTGCCAAAACGATTGTTCTGTCACAATTCTTCTACTTTTTAAAACTTTTAACTGTATTTTACTCCCTTTATAGCGTGTTAGCTTTCCAGCCGTAACAATCTGCAACTTAAACATGATCCGTTTAGATAAGCTTCCCCACGACTTCATCAGTACGCTTCTAGAAGAACTGAAAGGCGAAGGTATGGATAGTCCCCAATATCTAACGTTTCATTATAATTAATAACTCTGTTGATTTAGATTTATCTTTTTAAAGTTTAAAACTTTTACGTTTTTTTAAAATTTTTATTTATTAATAGCAAAATGCGTTACATAGCGCAGTTCTAATTTTCTCCCCACCCAACTGACTGCCCCTGGGTCTGGGGTGACCTTGGATCTGTTCGCCCAGAGTGTTCGAGAGAAAATATAAACTATGTGTTATGATAACAGCACGCTCGACGTGCCGTGTACTGCGAAATATCTTGGTCTGTAATCATTCCATACAGACTAATTTTCTTAAGGAACAAGATGCAAGTTAGGCGGTTGGGGTTAGGGTTAAAAATAAATCAAAAAACCTACCATTGTGAACATGACACTTATAATTTAGCTTTGAATTAGGCTTTTTTAACTATCTTTCTATTTGTGTAGTCATCTCAGCGATTCTTTTTCGTTATAGGACAAGATACGCAATCGAACGGTTCTCACGCAGCCTCCCTTCTGTCAGGTGCCACTACAGGCCAGCCTGAATCAACAGCAAATCCTTCTGCTCCTGGCAGCGTTTCAACAACAGATGAAGCTATTACTACTCCAAACAATGATGTTACCACTGCTACAAACCCTAGTGGAAATGCACCCACAGGGACTTCTCAAACTGACGCTACTGCGTTCCCCAATGGTGCTACAACAAATCCCGCCTCTGATAGTGCTACAACTTCTACAGTTGGCGATGACGTAACCACTGGTACAGACCCGGGGGGAACGGGACCTACGGGCACCCCTGATGATGCCGCTACTACGTTACCCCACGGAGGAGAGTATAATTACGATTATGACGACTACTACTTTTATGACTATGACTACGATTACGATTACTATTATAACGATGGCTTTGGAGCAGAGAGTAAAGATGAAGAATACGCCATTGAAGAAGCTATTCGCGCTGAGTTGGCCCTTCAAAACGATTCCTTCATCTTCGATATGGGGCACCAGTTTGAGGATTTGGTATTCGAGTGTTCTTTCAGGGGATATGATTGCAAGTATGTTGTCTTTTACTAAAAGACGTTTAGCACTTGCAGATTAAACAATGGATCAATCAGTTCAGTCTGCGTTAGAGGCATACCGCCTCTGAGGAACTTCCAGATGTCACAATAGGGCCATTTATACGAGGAAAAATAAGACGCGTCTTAAATAAGACGCGAACTGTACCATTTATACGAGCATGTATAATCTAAGACGAGAACAGCTCGTATAAATGGTTCGCGACTTATTTCTGTTCTTGACTCGTTTTCATGTTAATGTTGCCCGTAGCAACGGCAACCAACAAGGCGCGAAAATTTTCCCGCCAAAAATTAACGCATGCGTACCATGCGTTCGTGTCTTATGTAAGACGCGAAGGTCATTTATACGAAGTTTTTCTCGTCCTAGCTAAGACGCGTCTTATCTAAGAACAGGTGTTAGGGGCTGTTCTAAAATAAGACGCGTCTTAGCTAAGTCGCGTCTTATTTTAGACGAAATGTGCCGTTTATACCGAAAGTTCGTGTCTTATGTAAGACGCGTCTTATTTTTCCTCGCATAAATGGCCCTATTGTCTGTAGTGCGCGGTCTACAATGAAGCAGTTGCGATACATTAAGATATATAAGCCAGTTAGTGGTAAAGGGGATAAGGGGAGATCAGAACGTCAGATCAGATAANGTACCATTTATACGAGCATGTATAATCTAAGACGAGAACAGCTCGTATAAATGGTTCGCGACTTATTTCTGTTCTTGACTCGTTTTCATGTTAATGTTGCCCGTAGCAACGGCAACCAACAAGGCGCGAAAATTTTCCCGCCAAAAATTAACGCATGCGTACCATGCGTTCGTGTCTTATGTAAGACGCGAAGGTCATTTATACGAAGTTTTTCTCGTCCTAGCTAAGACGCGTCTTATCTAAGAACAGGTGTTAGGGGCTGTTCTAAAATAAGACGCGTCTTAGCTAAGTCGCGTCTTATTTTAGACGAAATGTGCCGTTTATACCGAAAGTTCGTGTCTTATGTAAGACGCGTCTTATTTTTCCTCGCATAAATGGCCCTATTGTCTGTAGTGCGCGGTCTACAATGAAGCAGTTGCGATACATTAAGATATATAAGCCAGTTAGTGGTAAAGGGGATAAGGGGAGATCAGAACGTCAGATCAGATAAAGATAGTTAACGATAGGATCTGTGCGATAAAAATTCTGCAATTAAGAGAATAGCCCTGCTCGGAACCTATAAGTGGCAAACTTCTACATTAAAGTAATAAATATAATTAAAAATTAAGTATTTCTACTCTGATTTTTCTAATAGCAAGCGTAATAATGAGTCAAAGTTATGTGTTTTTAAAGTTATGAAGCATGATCTTTCGCTTTAATTTCAGAAACTATTCAAAATATTGGAACTTCCTTTGGGATTCTCGGTATGGTAACTGCTATACATTCAATGGAGGAATCACCAATGAAGGCGAAAAACAACGGGTCCTTCAATCTTACGTCACGGGACCAACCGGCGGTAATCAATATGTCTTTTCTGAGTATACAGTCAACTCTCTCTAAGACGGACACCTTTGAGACCGACACTAAGTGTCTGTCTTAGAGAGGTGTCCGTCTTATAGAGAGTCAAATAAAGGGAGTAAAGAAAGGCAGGGACCAACTGTAAGTGTCCGTTTTACAGAGGTGTCCGTTAAGAGAGAGTCGACTGTATTGTCTAATTTTATCAAAAGATTAGTTTGAAAACGTTGATCGTCAATCAGCTGTCTCATTTATTGCCCTCTCAGGAGTATTTTTGGCGGGAAAAAGCTTTGTTTTATTTCTATAGCTATTTCAAGAGCTGCTCGAGTAGTGTTGAAAAATACTGCAATAAAGGACTAATATTGTAAGAAGGGCGGCTAAATACTAACATTTGTTTCATTAGCTGCGTAAGTATATTGGCCGCGCTAATGTTTGGATCGCTGAATTGATCAGAGGGAGCCGGAATTAGGAATATTAACGTCCATTTTAATTATTCTTGACGATGGCCAATCACGTTATTTGCAAAAATTGTCGATAATACACATTGCTGAGCACCATTTAAAGACGAAACATCAAATTGACTGGGACTCTGCAACATATATAACGTATTCTACAGACTACCATCAACGTCTTACTTTAGAAAGCTGGTTTACTAACTTAGAACAAACGCCATTGAATCGTAGCCAACAGTTACCAGCGCCGTACAAACGACTTATTGACGAGATCAAGCAAAACTAACTACGAGAGAACAACTGGAGAACTGACAATTTGACTAACAATAGACGACTGTTTAACTGTGACAATAGACGGATCGAAACGCACCAATCACTGATTACGAGTCTTCATAGCCAATAACATCACGGCCTAACTGACAGACGACCAATAACATCGCGACATAATTGACCAATCAGATCAATAACCAGAGTATAATACCATCAACTGACGTGATACAACTCACTTTGACTCTGAAGATGACTACTGCACAGGTTGTCGAAACGTCAGTCACTGTCAAAAACAACAGTCCTATTCAGGACTACGTTCACCCGGACGATCAAACTCAACCTATTGTCGATAATACCAAGCTTTGTCTGACGCTGTTATGAATCAGTCTTAGAGCGGTTTTCATTTGAGTGTCGAAAAGTAATTGGTTTTGCACTTTCTACACGATGCGATTGGCTTAAAAGATTCGCGCCACCTTTTCATCCAATCAGAAGTAAAACCAAAGCCAATTGTGACGCGCTCGCATGCATTTTCCCGCGCTTTGCGTCAGCCACATGTAATTACTTCGAGTTTTGATTGGTTCAATGTATTGTCTGTGTCCTATGTGATTGGCCAGAGTNCAATACATCCCCGAAATTAGTGACACGGCAGGAGCTAGAGTGGTGATTCACGAACAAGGACAAGTTCCCTTTCCTTACAATGAAGGCCACAGTGTGCTTCCGAGCAGATCTACATCATTTGGAATACGGCGGGTAGGCAACGCTGTGATAACCATTATCATAGATAAACTGTTCACAGTAACACGCGTGAAAAACGCAGTGCGCATGCGTGCCTTCCCTGCTTCCGGCGCAAATTTGCATGTGCCTCCCCTAATCGAAATTATACGCGATACCAAAACAAACTAGATTCCGGCCGCGAAATTCAAAAAAGTACGCTCCACACACAAAAGATAAGCTTAGAATTTCACGAACACAAAGTTTATTAATTGCTTTAGTTTCTCTCTTTTGCACCACATACTTTCCTCCTTGCACCAAAGGCGAAAATCATGTTTGAAAGTCCACGCTCGCTCTGGCAGCACTTCGCCGTAGCCATTGTTGCTGTTTTGGTCATTATGTCGCTGAGCTCGGTCAATGCGAACAACGAAAACGACCAATGCATGCTAAGTGGAAAAACAAGGACGGAAAAACCTTGTCCTGGACGACTTTACCAGTTAGTTAAGTTAGTTTAAGTAATTTTTTGTTGTGCTTAATACTAGAACCGGCTGCAAACCATTAAACACATCAAACGTTCCTAAGTGTTTTTCAATTTAAATGGGGAAGATTTTGCAAACTTTAATTATTGAAAATAGAGACCTTGCGCATGCGCAGACGTTTTGCACGCGTGTCGTTCACAGTCCCCTATTTTTTCGTGAGATCGTCGAGATATAGCGCGTCTTACCGTTAATGGCGGCCATCTTGATTTGTAAATATACCGAGGGGGCGGGCGTCGGGGATTATAGCCCCGCCCCCTAAGTAGTTTTGACACTCATGCAAGATGGCAGCCCGTAACGGAAAGCGCTCGATCTCGACGATCTTACGGAAAAATAGAGGACTGTGAACAGTCCACTGTTTCATTAACTTTATCAACGACCAGCTGAAAGTGCAGGTTTATGTCCTTTCAGAATGTCTTGATTTTCCATGCTCGAGTCCAAAATATGTTCTACTATAAGCCATTTTGCTGCTAGCTTTTCGATGCTTTAATTGGTTCTGTTCCATCTGGAATTTTCCTCAAAAGTAGCTTGAGCGACGTCATAACGCGTAACCATAGTAACGGAATACCACTTAAAATGTTAAGATATGTCTGACGCAAGTCTGACGAATAAAGTCAATAAATGAACCGCTAATTTAAAAAGAGTTCCAATTCTGACTTACATCATTTTTTAGGAGAGTGGCATCTCCTCCCTCTTATACACAAGGGTCAAGATTCCGTGAAATGGAAGGGGAGAGACGAGTGTACTCAAATTGCCTGGCCAAGAACTAATTTTCGCTTATGTTCAACCGCAAACGTAGCTCAGCATCTTCAGCTTTATTGTTACAAATGTGAACAACAGACACAGAGAATTTTCCGAAATAACGTTTAGAAATAATGGATAGTTCTGAAACAAGGAGGCTTTTCATCATGAGTTTCAAACTTTGTAACTTTTATTGTTTGACCTTAGACCGTTATAGAGAGGGAAGATCCGTTCGGCAATGGAAGTTGTGTTTCGGAGAGTGCTCTAAATGGCAAAAACTTGTACGCCAAAAAATACAACGCTTCGTACTCTAAACAGGTAAAAAAACCAACAACGTAAAAGATATTTATTAATTGCTAAAAGGTATTAAAAGATATGGTTGATCAGATGATAGGATTTTGCAGTTAGCCAATTACAACAAGAATACATCAGTTGGGACGTGGTGACAGGCTGAATTCACAAGGTATTACGCCGGGGCAATTTAGGCTATTATTAGTATGAACACCTATCTGATATGTGACTCTTCACTTTAGAGATCGGTGCGGAGCAGCTTCGCTCTGTTACAGAAATTGCGTCGAAATCACGGTTCTCGTGTGTCACGGAACAGAAGCCGTGACTGGTATGGTTTTCTACCTTATTAAAAGAAATTAACGCTCCATGAAATTAACGCGAATCGTTAAAATTCGCGTTAATTTAAGTCGCGTTAACTTTGTTGAGCGTTGATTTCCGCGACGTTAACTAAGTGCAGCGTTAATTTCCGCGCTCTTAATTTCCAGTATCTTAACCCCAATTTTCGAACCTGTCCAGACATTCTTGACGCCTAAAAAACATTAACTACAAGCTTTCTTTCTTTCCATTTACCCTTTATTTTTCATCTTTCACAAAAGCTAGGGCGAAGGTTTACAACATGTATGTCAATATCTTCTACTTCGATTTCGCGTAATTAATCGCGTTAATTTCCTTTATTATGAAATTCTACTTCCTCTTCCGCGTTAATTTTCTTTATTCGAAAGTCGTTTTCGATTAAATTCGCGTTAATTCAAGTGGCGTTAATTTCCGATACCTTAATTTCATGGAGCGTTAATTTCCTATAATAAGGTATCCGATATAGTATGAACGTAGCCTTAACGGTCACCCTCCAGTTACTAGAGCGTGACAGACTCTCAATGCCCCTTTGATCCCATTTTAATTTTTCAAATTAATTACTGGACATTTTTATTCTAAATTATTAGTGTTCCGAATTCTTGTCCGCACCTTTCATGCACAACATTTCTAGACCAGTTAATAATTGCTGTCTATCCCGCTTGTTTAGGCCTGTATGAACACTTGTCACGCGGATAAGCAGATAGCAGATTGTGGATGCGCCGAAGGCCAGTTCCCTACAGATGCAGATATTTGCAATTTGCGTAACAAAACTATAGGTAAATGTGTTTAAATTGTTATTATCTGTAGCCCTATCAAACTCCATCGGTTTCGCCACTTCAAGCTTCCAAGGAACATTATGTAGAATCAAATTGTTATTTAATCATCATAATTAAATAGAAAGGATGCGTTATAAATTATTGGTATTATTATTATAATTATAATTATTATCATCATCATCATCATCATCATTATTATTGTTGATATTGTTATTTGTATAATAAATCCTTATTACAATAAGTTTAGCAGAAACATTTTCTTATCTGTTTTTCCAACAGCTAAGTGCCTGGAGAAAATACAACATAAGCTGCTTACAGGAGAACTCGACTGCGAGGCTCAGTGTCCAACACCATGCAGGTAATTCAACTATTAAATGTAAAGAATATTTTTTGTTCACGAAGATTAAAAATCGACCTTATCCACATACAACGCCCTCCCTTTTCACTTTAATCGATTATTAATTAATCAGCATTTGCTCTAATTACAAAGTTGCTTAGAATTTTCGGAAGACTTTCAACGATATCAGTCTGAAATCTTCTGATTTTCTGCAAAGAAAAAATAATTGGCCAGAAATACATTTACATGGAAGTCGACAATATACTCACGGTTACCCTTTTCTTTGATATGTTGTAACGATTAAAACATGTGTCACTCAGTTTTGTTTTCTCATAGAGAAGTTCAATACAAGAGCACCCTTTCAATGGGTCACTGGCCTTCCTTTGGATATGAGGTATTTCCTTATTATTATACCCTCCCTTTCGGAATCCTTTAAGCATTAATATTCACATAATTTGTAGATTTAGTCAAGGCCAAAAGCCATGTCTTTCTACCGTACAGTACAGTACAGTACAGTACAGTTCAAATCCTCCAGTCGGTAAGCCTGTTACCATGGAGTTGCACTGGCGACTACACGGTCGACCAGAGTAGCGAAACCACTCTTATCTTGTGTAGACCTCTTTGCCTGAAGCCATTCAACTTTCGCCGAATCAAAAAGCAAACTGAATTCCTTCTGAAAAATGGACCTGAGCCAACAATTAATAGATAACCAATAACTGTTCAGAGAAGAACTTAAAAAATACGTGACCTCAATGAATCGTACGCCTGAGCTTCGGATGCAGTCATGTGACACTGGTCATTGGATATCCTATTTTGATGGATTTTCAATAGTCAAATTAAGACCTCGGATTCCCAGCTAGAAAGTTTTTCATTTCACATCCGATAACTATAAAAGGAGTGGACGTACGGACGGACGATTTTGTCAAATTTTATTACCCATGGTGCTCTACTGCAAATACTCCAGACTGATCTCCATATATTTTCCAAAATGATTAGTTAAAGGAATTTATTAAAAGATTCCAGTATTTTCTTGATGAATGTGTCGATAATGTTAGGAAAAAATTGATCTTGGTTACTGACTCCCTAGACTTAAAGGGTTAATGGTATTGTCCAGTCATCAAATTTCTCTTTTAACAGATTAAACTTTACCTAGAACGCTATATTAAACGCTGAAAATTGAAGATGTTAAGAAGGCTGTGTTCCGTGTGGGCAGTGTGGTGAAGAACAAAAAGCCTTCATCGCGTCCTTTCGCCTTTTTTCCCGGCGAATTTCGAAAGGTTTTGCAATTTATGAAAGTCGACTTTAGCAACCCAAAAAATTGCGTGTCTTACAACGCCCGAGCTTCGTCATATGAAATCATTAGTTTTAACACGTTGTTCTTCAATTATATATATCTATATTATAAATCTGATCCTTCCAAATTCACAGAAATGCTAAGTGCTTTGTGGCCTAAAAAAAATTAATATTTACTCAAATTTTTCTTAGCAAAAACCTTTAGTTTAAATAGTTATCAAACCTTAACATTTTGTTTGTGTTTATTGCAGTCCATCCTCGAAAGTCGAGTTAAGACCGATTCCACCCTAGCAAAAGAATTGGATAATGGATACTTCTTAAGGTAATCATAAATTATACTCGTACGTACGATACTCTAGATTGTCTCCTAGGGGGGGACAGAGGAGGAAGCGCCTAGTCTAGTATATGTGAATTTCGCTAAAGTTGGTTGGTTTCCGGAGAGGTCCGCAAACTTTTATTCTGCGTTGTCAAGAGAGAATTCAACAGTCGCCATTACAATAACCAGCATTTTTGCTATGAGGAATTGACTTTTGGACTTAATCAAAATGTGCGGACGTCTCAGGAAATAGACGCCTCGAAAGGAAAATACAATTGAAAAATCTTAATCACATGTAACGAGAAATGCACTAGGTAAACAAATACGTTTACAAACTTAACTAAAAATTTACAAAGGGCGAAATAATAAACCAAATAAAAAGAAAACGAAAGGAAGGACTAATACCTTGTGAACCTTTAAGACTCTATCCTTGAACAACCAAATCCATCACCGAACAGGCGAACGAGAGAATTCCCAACCGCCTAGCTAGCGATCACGTATTTTTAAAACTATCGATCGCTTGGTCACCTGACCCAAAGAGCGCGAAAATATAACCTACCGCGCGGGTCTGGGCTGGCCAGCAGCTACAATTGCAACGTCTATTAAAATAACTTTCATCAGTGAAACTCACACTTCCCGGCCAAAGCCCTAAAACTCCCTCGATCTCTGCAGTCCCATTATATTTAATTCTCTTGGGATTAATTAAACCAAACAAAGGTCGAAATCACACTAAAACGTCTATGAAATTCTTAAAACGCTCATTTTTGTCTCATTTAATTGTCTATATGGTTTATATAATTACTATTTTACCCTTTGTTTAATTCAAATACATGAAAGTGACATCTTGTCTCTCCAATTTTTTTTTACTTTCAAGTGAGAACTTTCTTCAAGTTAAAGTCTTCTACGAGCAACTAAATTATGAAAAGGTTACTGAAAGAATAAGCTATGAGGTAATTATCGTTTCTAAATTACAGTAATCTGTCAATTACATTGTTTATCTTGCTTGCTTTTATTCTACATGTACCATTTAGGACCGCTTCCACTTAATGAGACGTAAAAAACGTTTAAACATATAATCAGTGTATGTAACAGTTTTTTCCTTTGGAAGAAACTACTTGGAATATATTTCCCATTCATAACAGTAGCTAATACGCAAATACATAAAATAATCTTATTGCACATATTACATGTAGACTTCAGTATGACAGGTACAGGTATACACTAGTGGATGTTAATTACAGAATTTTTTTAAAGTGAGCAAACTAATGATGGACTAGCGAACTCCGTGTTTCTTTAGGGATTCCATACAGCCACAAAGGGTGCTAGATAAATCAAAGGTTTTTTTTGTTACAAAGCAAGTAGATTACATAAAAAAATCTTATTGCACGTGATTACATGTAGACTTCAGGATGATAGGTACAGGTATACAGTAGGTGTGAATTAGAGAATTATTTTAAAGTGAGCAAAACTTAATGGTGGACTTGCGAACTCCGTGTTTCTTTTTTATTTCAATAGGGTGTTAATCTTGTTGCTGACATCGGAGGACAACTGGGGCTTTGGATTGGTATATCTGTACTTACTTGCTGCGAGTTCTTGGAATTAGCTTGGATGATAATACAAACGATTATTAACCGTATTTCAGGCAGGAGAATCGTTCATGTACTACCAGTAAATGAATAGTCACCTGCAGATTTCCCTATGCGTATGTGTTTCGCTCACAGCCGGAGCTCTTCATGACTAGATGAGAATTATGAGGCGTGCCTGAATTAACAGTGACATTTATATCAAGTCTGGGAATACTGGAAAGAACAGAAGTATCCAACATTACCCCGAATACTCTACTTATTCTCTAAAACAGAATAGATGGTCGTCGATGGTGTGGCTTTCAGTCTGATATTCGTGATGTGATGCAAACATACTATGGGTGGTTCTTTTGAAAAGAACTGCTGAACATTACAACGACAGTTAATATTAAGTGGTCTCAGATAAATCAGTTGAAGTTATTAATGCGTTGTCAGTTGTAAACGGGCTGTGCTACAAGTGCGTTGAGCTCAAACAAGTAAGAAGCAAATCTGAAAACGGATGTATTATTATTTTAAGTGTTAATCTCATGGTAAAGGCTGAGTACACTATACATTTACGTATACGATAGCTCCTTAAGATTCGTTTGCGTCGTTACGTTTACACAGTCTAACCTCCAGTAATGCGCAGGTTTAGTAGACGCTTACGGGGGGTGTAGTTAATTAACTGAGTGAGAGGTTCCAGCAACAACAGGCAGGGGCACCCAACGAGAATATAGTTCAAAACCACTTATACATAGCATTGTTGAACGTATTTTAGTATTCAAACGGTGGATATAGGCAATTTTTATACCCTAAAAATTTTTCATCTGTTCGGATGTCCTAGCTGAAAGTCTAGTGATCCGAAAATTTTTGGGATCAAAACTTACTTTTTCGAAAATTTCGGCCAGAAAAAAAGCTCCCGAAAATTCTAGGTGATCTTTTCTGGGTAAAAATTCGTTAAAAATGGGCAATTATACCATTTTTAGATGTTCGAAAATCCTAGGAGAGGCAGGCAAACAAGAAATTTTACAACAAATGTTCCGAAAATTCTAGATCTCAAATCGTCTTCCGAACAGATATTTTCTAAAAATTGACGTTGGGTGCCCCTGAACAGGGCTTTGACTAGAAAAAAATTTTTCATTGGCCTTTTGAATATATATGTTCGTTTATGGGAAGTGGTAGCTTATGGGTGGTGGTCCCACATGGCGTTTCAGCTGTATTTAATAGAAAGGAAATTAGTTACTAGAAAGAAAGATTTGTTACTTAGAAAGTAAGAACAAAAGTGGGAGAAATTTTAAATTCATTCAAACCCTCCAAACTTTGTACGCCTCTGTTCAAACCACATGGTACAGGACTGAATATTCCAGCTGACAACCGCTTACCTGGTAAAATTTGGAAGACGGACAAACTAACCTGTTCCTTCATCCTAGGGAGCTATTGAAACTGAACAATACTCCGCCCAGAGATTTGAGAACAATTTATCGACTTGATACAGTCAAACTCGCAATTCCCTGCTGTGCCTGCATTTTGTGAACAAAGCTGAATTTGGCCACCAGGGTTTGGATTTGGCGTTAAAACGTCCCCTGCTACCCAAGGATGATTAAACTTCTTTTGTGCTTGCCTGCGCTTGTAAATTAGACAATGATTGCAATCTATGCTGTCTTTCATTAAATATATTAAAGTGATCTGAAAAATTTAAGTAATCACACATCTCGTATCACTTATCATTATTCATTCAAATATCAGTCTCCGTTTCTGATTGGCTCAAATCCCACGGTTAATTCTCCATAACTAGTTAGCCTTAACCAGATTTGGAAGAGTCGTTTGCGATATCCAGTAAAATGACGTTATTAGAACAGGACATCTTCATAAAAAGGGACTGACGGCAACCGGGAAGCCCTAGGGACAAGGTTGAGGCTTAGCTGTTTTTTTAAAGCTGGACAAACTGGCAGAAAAATTAACATGCTTTGAGAAGAAGAAATGGCCGTTGCCTTAAAACATAAAAAGAGCAGCTAAAACACAACCCGGCGGCTGACAATAAACAATTATTGAATGAGGTATTTGTGATATCCGGAATAATCAAGGTCGAGGTCCAGGTAAGTGTTATCTGCCGAGCCGAAAAAGGCCGAGGCTGATAACACTTACGGAGACCTTGATTATTTAGGATATCACAAAAACAGAATCGAGTAATTATAATACTTTGTTTTGACAAAAATAACAACAAACACACCATCGCAAGGAACTTGAATTGATATTGTTTTTGGAAATCACGCATTGTGCGCGCAACCTACAGATTAGTCACTTATCCGTGTCTGTACGTTGCACTGATTTTCAGAATTAACTGTAAGCTCTTAGCCAGTGAGAGGACAGCTGCAGATAGTGAGTACAATCGGTATAATAATGAAGAATATCTGCTGACTAAACATGCCTTGATATCTTAAATTTGACAAGGTACTAAGCCAGTGAAGACAACGGCGAGTGCTGCAGTTTGTATCTGATTGAAACGGCTCCCTGACTGAGCACAGTCCTTTGCTATTTGTTCACAAACTGTGACGGAATAAATCAATGCACCTTATTTATTGCTCAGTAAGATCAAAATCATAGCAATGCTATTGAACGTTGTGCAACTTCAAGTCCACAAAAACATGTAACAACGGAGTCCTGACAGAACTATGATCGAGGTAAGCATCTTTCTTGGTATGAAAGTATGAATCAGTGAAACCTTTGCTTTGGCACCCTATGAAGGCATCCCTCTAGTCAGCCATACGGTAACGTTAACAGATTCATAAAATCAAGAACCAATCTTCTAAGAACTTGAAAGGAGTCAAGATCCAGGTCCGGCCAAGGAAGGTGGTCATTACATAAACCAGTTTGGTAACTCCAAGACAAGATTTTAGGAAGTCAAAGTAAATATTTCGACAACATTAAGGACTCTGATTAAACTAGAAATATTGTTCAGCACTGTATGTAAATGCCATACAACTGCTTTCTCCCATGACAATTTTGGCTCATCCTCAGAATTGTTATGAGGCAAAAAATGTTATGGGGAATGGGCGTTTATTGAGCCGTAGGACCGCCGGCTTTCCAAAAGTCAGAACTGGCCGGCCAGACCATGGCCGGACCAGTCATTTTGACAAGCAAGTAGGCTTTTCTGAAGAGTTTTTGCTGCAAAACCAGTCCCTCGTTCATACTATTTAGAATTTGACTGAACTGGCTGGAGAGTTTTGATTACAAATAAGATTCTCATCACGACCGGAATGGTTTGGCTTGTCAGTCCTGACAAATGGAATTTGCGCCTTGTCTGCATGGTGAAGGCTTTCCCCTCAATCAAGAGCTTTTTCTGTACTTCATCAGCCTTCAGTGTTTTCTGTCACACAGTTTTGTATAGCGGACTGCGACGATATAATTACTGATAGAAAACCTCGATTTTTGGCCACCGCAACGAAAT